AAAACCACAACATAGGATTGAATTAATAATGAAAATTTTTCAAACACATCCCTTCCCTTTCCCTAGACAGGTGCGGTGCGACGCCCTGTCTTCTTTTTTCTTTGCAGTGGCTCTGATTCCATACTCGATTATTTCAACGTAGACGCCGCAGAGACGAGAGGGCGGCGGAGGGAGGGTGGGTGGGGGGGGGGGGGGTTGACTTCTTGACTGACTGCTTCTTATGAGGAGGTATAAGGCGCGTCGCCACCTTTGGTGCGAGGCGGTAGGGGAGGGTGAGGGGGCGGGGAGGGAAGACGCGGGGGGGCAGATCCTCTAGAGAGGGACGCGTAACTCCCTGGCGCGGAGTAGAGGATTTGGCGCTAAGCTGTGTATTCAGAATGTGGCTGGGATGGGGGGGGGGGTAGCTTTGCCCCTCCGCGCAGTCCGCGCGCGGCCACCGCTGCCGCCACCGCCAACACCGCGAGTAAGATAAGTCGACTTCGAAGTCCCCAATGCGGGAGAAAATTTGGCGGGTGGCTCAGCTCAGGCGGTCGGTGCAGCCGGCTCAGCTTATGCCGACTTAGTTATATCCGGACTACGGGGGAGTGCGATGACGCTTCGCAGATATTCACATCTGTCACACACACACACACCTTTTTTACCATGCTGAAACTTTTCTGTTTAGGTGCGTGCGTGCGTGGGTCTCCTCTGTCACACGTGTTGTTTCAGTCTTTTTGTGTGATGGTGCGCCTGTCAAAATTGCGGTTAGCGTTTGCTGTGTTTGCCAACTGTTCTGTTTCCAATTTTTAGTGTGGCAACTATTATGTCAAGAATTTTTTTTGTGGGACGACTTTTTGCAGGTGATGACTATCTTTCCACAATTTCTTGTAGCAACTATTATGTTAAGAAAAATTTTGCTTGCGACAGCTCTTTTTCTGGTGACGACTTTTTCGTCACAATTGTTTTGTACCAGAAAAATCTTGTGTGACAACTTTTTGTTTCTGAGTGTGCGAAGACTTTCTTCGTCACAGTTTCTTTTCTCGATCGTTTATGTGTCAGGGTGACCTTTTCTTTTCTGTTCGTCACGCAGGTCGGCCCATGGTGCACCCGGCGGTGCAGGTCGTGACGGCCGTGGCGGGCCACTCCGTCACGCTGAGCGTCGAGTTCTGCGCCAACCCCGCCGCCCGCCGCGTCATGTGGGTGACGCAGCGGCTGCTGCTGCTGCCTGGCACTACGGACCAGGAGCGTGGCCACGAGTTCCACAACATCACGGTACGTGCGCATGGCGTTACATCTAGGGCTGGAAGCCCTGGAAAGTTTCCGAAAAATTTCGGGATAAACGGAAAATTTCACAGACTTTGGAAGTTTTTTGTCATTTTCGTCAAGCCCCCAAAAAATCTCATTTTTATAAGACACATTGCAAAAAAATCTATGGTTTTAGGCGGCTAATTTTTTATTTTTATTTTTTTAATTTTTTTGCCACTGCGAAGTAATAACCCAATGCAACATGTTCATCACATGCAAGTGTTGTCTAGTGTCTCCTATTTAAAAGTCGCGCGGAGACAACTGCTGGACCGCTTTTTTTTAATGTGTGGATAACATCGCGCCCAGCCCTGCCCCCACCTCGTCTCCCAGCTCACCTCAGCAGCAGCCAGGCGCCGCGCCAGTGCCACGGGCCGGGGGCTCCCCAAATCAATCTGGGGTAGC